TTCATTCATTCATTCATTCATTCATTCATTCATCATATTTATATAGCTGCCCATCTCACAAACACAACTCTGGGTGGCGTCCAGTAAAAAACCAGCCATAAAAACCAGCCACAGGACTGCAGTTTTAAGCTATGAAACAAACACTTGAGAGCCAGTTTGGTGTAGTGGCTGAAGGCACCAGGTTGGAAATGAGGAGATTGTGGGTTCTAGTCCTGCCTTAGGCACAAAGTCTGGTGGGCTGGTGACTTTCTCTTATCCCTGGGAAGAAGGCAAGGGTAAACCCACTCCAAAAATATTGCCCAGAAAACTAGAGTGACTTGTCCAGACATTTGCCAGGAATCAAGACTAACTCAGAGCCCACCCCCCAAACCCCCAAACCACTTATCAAAGAATAATGCCTACTGGGTATATTAGAATGTACCTTTGAATAAACATTCATAGGATTGTATTTTTAGTTTCTGCTCTTCCTGGGTCACTTTTATTCAGGAAAACAGAGAGAAAGCCAGACAATAGTTGATTGATATGAAGTAATGAAGTACAAAAAATGTTAAAGAAAATATATTTTTAAAAATCTAATATTGAATTGTATAGATTACGGGTAACCTGTGCTGGTTTGAACAGTGTATTAAAATGTTGCTATATGTATGATGCATTACTCAGATCATTGTGCTTAGAGAATAGCAGGGGGAAATGGAGCTGATTGCAAGCAGGGAGCTCAAAGTGACTCTTATTTCCATGGCAATCTTTTAAACAAGAGCTTTGGGGTTTCCTTTTCTTGTCATTAGTGGAACAGTAATGTCCCAGTGAGATTTCAGCAGCCCTGTTGCTGTGCTCTCTGCTTATAAAGAACAGGACCATTTTTGTAGGGCATATAGGGCTGTGTCAATCTCTGTTTCATTAAAAAGTCTTTTTCCCTACAGCATTCAAGATATTACCATCCTCTTCAATGTTATCATCATCTTCCTCATGTTCTTCAACACCTTTGTCTTCCAAGCCGGCCTGGTTAATCTTCTGTTTCACAAATTTAAAGGGACTATTGTCCTGTCAGCAGCATATCTTGCTCTGAGTATATCTTTTCACATATGGGTCATGGTAAGAAACAACTATGTTTGGCTCTTAAAGAGGTTTATTTATCTTGGATGTTGAGGAGTCCATATGATGAATCCAGAAGAAATTAAACAGATAAAACTTACACTGAAGTTCATTGTGCTTGAGTAGTTTCTTTTTCCTTCATTAAATTCAATACAAATCTCTTAAAAATTGATAGATTGTTGTGTTTTCTTGGCACTAAACTTATAATAAAATAATAATAATAATAATAATAATAATAATAATAATAATAATAATATAATGTTCTTGGAGGAATGCTGGCAAGAATGAGGGTAGGTAGAAGAATGTGACTTTCTACACGAGACTGTTAAAGATAATATATGTTTTGACTTTGTAACCTACTTAGGAAATTTATTTAACTGAAAAGTAGCAAAGAAATGAATTGGAAGCTATAAAAATGCAGTGCAATGGGTAGAAATTTGTAATACCTGGAATCTCTTGCAGAATACTGCTTGTAGATTTCCCTGTCTGTCTCTACTACAGTAGTAAGATCTCCCTCAAACAAGCACGGGACCTTAGTTCTTTGCCAGTTACCACTTCGGTACATAGTCTGTGCATGCAGAATTTGTAGAACAGAAACTAATTGTTAGGTGGGTTGGAGAATTTTCAAGTCTAAGTAATTAGTTACACAGATTTGGTTATTGTAGTAGGTTATCCTTTCCTTTGTGGATCAGCAGGAACCCTGTGTTATCAGTCAGGTGATTGTTTTTGTTCTACAGCAAGCTTTTTTAGGTTACTGTCCTCTCTCCAGTTGACCAGTGACATAAACTCTGATGTGGCATGTGTGAACAAGATGTAAATTAAGATGCAAGTAGTTAGTTTAGATAATCCAGGAATTTTCCTGGTATTTAAAAACAATGTAAAGTCTGAAGCTAGAAGAAGTCCTAACTATTGCAGTTTTTACTGGCTTTTTTTGCACAATATACTAATCCATGGTTTATTGAATTAATCCAGGTAGCTGAGTTTTCATAACACACTGAACCATAAACTAATCACTCTGACTAAGCTTGCATGAGGCCATGCACATTTAAGGCAAACATGTACAAACTCTGCCATTTTATTACTGTTAAATCTGTTGACATGTTTAGCTGGATCCAAGAGGACTTTCAGCTGATTTTTCATAGTAAATTTGCATCTACTATGGCTTTTTTGGACAGTTCAGTTTTTTTAATGGTTACATATTCTTCACCTAAATAATTATTTCAATTTCATCTCACATAGCTTCATACATATGCACCAGTCAAGTGTCTTCTAGTAATTTCAAATCAGTAGACATTTGTTTTATTCTTTATCGGTATAATTTATCATAGGGGATGTCTCTCACTTGCCAAAGGTATCTCATGTTGGTGGTTTCTGTGATCCGTAAAATATTTGCTTAACTTATCTGTGT